TTTGTACTGAGCCACAGGCTAAATAAGTGACTGCAAAAATCTATGAGAGGAAGTCTACAAAATGAAACAAACAGCAGGGCATGTCCTGTTTATGAATAAAGACAAAAGGAGAGGACTCGTATATCTTGTGGAGCAAAAAAAACCACAATGGATCCTTCACCTAAGAAGCTGACATGTCTGTCTCACAAAAGGAGGGTCACAGCAGCTTAGCTATAAAACTCCATAAGGATTTTGGAGTGAGACAAATTCTACAAGATATGAGAGTATCTAGTTAGTTAAGTCTAGGCTCTAAAATGAATGTTATGTTTTTATTTTATACGTAACCATTTGTTTCCAAAACATCTACTTGCTATTTCTTGAATCTCTGTCCTTTGTTAAATAAACGTATACCTTATTTCTCTGAAAACAAATCTAAGCGCTGTGATTAAGCAAAGTGGTGATCTGGGGTTGAACTGGTAAGCTGGGGTGTACAGTTGCTTTGGGAGCAGTGAAACTGTGAATGCTGCACACGACCAGAGGTCCACGGGCAGAATACTTCAGGGAAAGGTTCGGAGGTCTCGAGGGGTGGACTGTGCCTATTGCTAACCCGTAGAGTCACAGCAGAGCCTGCAAAGGCCTAGAGGGCAGTGCTTGTGTTGCCTGTGGGGTAGTGGAGCAGACCCCCAGTAGCCAGAGACAAGGCTTTCTCACGCTAAGGGCAAGTGCAAGGTGCCTCATAGCCCTGGTTACTCCCAGGAAGTGTCACAGCGTCCAGCGTGACAGCTGGTGTTTTGACACCTAGGGCCCAACACCAAACATTTTATACACACATTCCACTTTTTGTAGAAACAAATAACACTAATTACAGCATTCCTGACAAATCTGTAGGTTAGATTTCACTTCAGCACAGCTGAAGTTGTCAAGATTTCTCGTTCCAAAAAATTAGCATTTACAATGGAAAAGCCAATTCACATTAATAAAATCGTGAGGAAAGAGTTCTTAAGAGATGGTGAGCAAATGAAAAAGCTGATCTGTGAAAAGGTTGGCAATGAGGACAATACTACGTAACACTATCACAGGGATTAGTGTGAAAAAAACAAACTACAGTGAACACACTATGCCACAGATGGAAAGATAAAGGGCCAGACTTACTCCTTCTACTTCAGCCATGGTGCAAAGCAGAGTAAACTGACCCTAACAGGTCACCTGAAAATTACTCAGATGTGGTGGAGTTCTCAGCTGGCATGAAGCTGGCTCCTACCCCAGCTGTCCCCTGCCCTCCATTCTGACACAGGCTGCATGTCTGGATGGGAAAGAGTGTGCCTGGGATGAAGCAGAGCAAGATGCACTCTACCAGTTCTGTACTGACGTATGGTTCCACAGGGATCGTATCCAACTGGCATAAATCAGAGCAACCTCTAGGCTGCTTTAGTTTATCCCAGGGCACTCAATGAATTATAGAGGCATAACTGGATCTCCGAATCCCCCAACTCTCCATATACATTTACCAAGTGCATGCTTGGAAGAGTAACAAATCTGTTCCCAGATTCCCAATGTTCCCAGTACTTGGCATTTGAAGTTATTAGAGTTGGTTGGAAATTCTGACAATGCTGATGCATTTTGAAATTGAAACATTTTGTGGAGATGGTTTGTTTTTACAAATTTGCAATGGAAATCTACCTGTTTTCCTGCCAGCATGCCAACCCAGCTCTTTGGGAGCTCACCTAGCAGGATGGCAGATTTCTTTGACAGTGTAACAATATAGGGGGGAAGCAGTAGATGTGGTATATCTTGATTTTAGTAAGGCTTTTGATACTGTCTCATATGACCTTCTCATAAACTAGGGAAATAAAACCTTGTTGTAGCTCCATCTAGGTGGCTGCATAATTGGTTGGAAAACCATTCCTAGAGAGTAGTCATCAGTGGTTCACAGTCAAGCTGAAAGGACATATCGAGCAGAGTCCCACAGGGATCGGTCCTGGGTCCAGTTCTCTTCACTATCTTCATAAATGATTTAGATAATGGCATAGAGAGTATATTTATAAAGTTCAAGGACCATAACAAGCTGGGAGGGGTTGCAAGTGCTCTGAAGGATGGGATTAAAATTCAAAATGTTCTGAACAAACTGGAAAATGGTCTGAAGTAAATAGGATGAAATTCAATAAGGACAAATGCAAAGTACTCCACTTAGGAAGGAACGATCAGTTGCACACATACAAAATGGGAAATGACTGCCTAAGAAGGAGTACTGTGGAAAGGGATCTGGGGGTCAGAGTGGATCACAAGCTAAATATGAGTCAACAATGTGACACTGTTGACAAAAAAAAAAAAAAAAAAAAAAAAAAAAAGGGGGCAGCAAACATCATTCTGGGATGTATTAGCAGGAGTGTTGTAAGCAAGACGCAAGAAGTAATTCTTCCACTCTACTCCATGCTGATAAGGTCTCAGTTTGAGTATGGTGTCCATTTCTGGGTGCCACATTTCAGGAAAGATGTGGACAAACTGGAGAAAGTCCAGAGAAGAGCAACAAA